TAGAGTTTCGGCTTAGGTGGGGTATGATGGCGGAGGCAAGGGGTGACGGCTGCCGTTGGATCCGGGAGGATCCAACGGTGTTCAGGCATGATCCGCGTGTGTTGTCTATGGACCAATCAAAATGCAATACATTGTACAACATTATGACCATTTAAATTAGTCACAGTAGATTTAGAAATAAGATTTTAAATCATGTTAGCAATTTTCTTGACCTCAGAAATTCGTACAAATTGAAAAAATTAAAATCCTTCTAATCGTGTCATCAAATGTGACCTAGTTTAAAGAGAAAAAAAAGAAACTAATAATAAAAAAATATCTTTAAAAGAAGTGTCCTTAGAAATGTCCGTCATAGTTCTTTTTTAGTGCCCAGAATGAGTTTTTCTTTTGTGAAGGACCTACCATATATTTGTTGCAAAATTGAACCAAATCAATTTTCTAAAATATTAGGCCATATTTAATGAACAATTGACCAAATGGTTGGGTGTCAAAAGTTTTTATCCACCTCTCGTGAAAAAGACAAAATACCGCCGATTCAGCTGGAAGTGGGTCAAATTTAAACTGTAGCTACCTCATAGTTTGCTCTTTATTTTTTTTTGAAAAATCATTTTTAGGTTCAAAAGTATCTACTTAATCAGAGAAACACCAAAAAAAATCCAAGATTCAACCACCAGCTACGAACGGTAATGCCCGCAATTTTGACCGCATTTTGTAACGGGCGTGAAAAATTCAAAAAAAAACAAAACAAAAGGAAAACCTTCGCATTGTGTCATTATATGTGACCGAGTTACTAGGAAAAATAATAAACTTGCAATACAACAATCCTTTAAAAAAGTGTTCTTAGAAATGAGCTATCATATGTGAAGATGTTTGGCTTTCAAGCCAAATGATCAATCTTATGGCCACATGCATGGCATAGCTCTTTCAAATGATCTTATATTGTGCACAAGTGTGCATCTTGGAATGAGAAACAATGTTGCCTAAGGAAGTTTTCATTTTCTTTGGACGAAAAATTCATATTCCATTTTTTGAGTGCCCCAAATGAGCATTTTTGTGAAGGACCTACTAAATAACTGTGGCAAAATTGTACCAAATCAATTTTATAAAATACTAGGACATATTAAATGCACAATTGACCAAATGGTTGGGTGTGAAAAGCTTTGA